GGGGGTGGGGGGAAAATTTTTTTTTTTTTTTTTTTTTTTTTTTAGGAATCACAGTGTTTTAAATTCAGTTTTGCAGCATTAGCTGTGAATGTGTGGACGTGGTGCATGTCTGAGGAGTGTGGGGGGGGGGTAATAGTCCTATGTACAAAAGTGGGCTGCTGCAGAAAATATTTGGGACCCACTGCTGTAAGGCAAGGTCAGTAACTGTTGTTCCACCGAAAAACATTTATCCAATCTTTTAATTAATGTGGACTACAGATACATAAAGGATAAAGTTCTGATATGACAGAACGAGATCCGGGGTGGTGCAGTGGGTGGGCCTACTGCCTTCCACCACAAGGTTCTGGTTTCTGATACATCCGGTCCAAAAACCAAATCCCTGTGATTTCTGCTGCGGCGGCGGCGGCGGCGACCGCTGGCAAAGAGACAGAAGTGATTCTTTTTCCTCTGATATGACAAAACAGAACAAATAATCCGTGGTCCCCGTGGACACGTCTCCACCTGTGCGGACGTTTTAACTTTAAAACTTCATATCAGAATATAACTGCGGCGACACCTGCTGCTGTCGTCACAGCGGTGCCTTCCGACCTAATAATAGAGCTGAGAATTAAACCGTGCCTCTTGTGATTAAAAACCTGCAAGATTAGGCGCTGTGGGCTGTGGACTCAACCGCGACGACACGCGTGTCAGACGTGTGCATGTGTGCACGGGGGCTGTGATTGTTCTCCACATGCAGTCAGTTGGTTTGCATATACACTGTGGCCCAGTGTGTGTGTGTTTGTTTGGTTTGGTTTGTAGTGTATGTTCAGCTTCATATGGGTCACGATTCCACTCTGATCTCTGGACTAGAACAAACAGAGCATACAGTACAGTACAGTACAGTACAGTACAGAACAGAACAGTACAGTACACCAGTGTGCCACCAACAGGATGCTCAGGTCTATACGGAGCATCAACCAAAGGCAAACTTTTACATGAGTAGGTTGAGCCAGAAGTTCCAACTTGTTTCCTCACCTGAATGAGGATGATAAAGTAAATGATAAAAAAAAAATTATGCAGAACGAGGGATTAAACCAGATTCATTTTTTTATTAAATATTTGATATTCATTTACAAGTTAAATGATGTTTCACCTAACACCCAACGGTTTGTTTTGTTCCTTTGGCATCAGAAATAAATGAAAGAGTAAATTCTTCAAGTACAGAATTTTTTCGAAAAGAGTAAAAACTTTTCTACAAGAAGAATTGCAGGGGCAACATGGAATCAGAATGTGGGCTGCATGTGCCCTGTGGGCCACTGCTGCAACACCTGGAGTTTAAGAACTGCCTTATGTAAATGACCAAAATGTGTGTGTGTGTGTCTGTTCATATTTATGCATACAATGGTGTAGCTGATGCAGTGAACCCAGGAGCTTGGTCTGCCCATCATCAGAGGTCAGCAGATCTTCCCCAGACAGGCAGGATACATACACAGAGATGCCAGTCATTGTTCCCCCTATGTACACACACACACTCTCTCTCTCTCTCTCTCTCTCTCTCTCTCTCTCACACACACACACACACACCAAGTCACTCAATATTTGCACTGACAGCGCAGTGCGAGGAGCGGCTCTCTGAAGAATGCCTGTCCCAATCTGTTCCCAGCAGATGTGTTTCCATAGACAATTGCCGTGTGAAGTATTATAATAAGCAAAACAGCAAGATGGTTTTTGGCTTGTCAGCACCTCTCATACTTCAACCATGTCTGCAGGCTATTAGCAGAGATGGAAAACTTCCCCCCCGAAACAAAGGCGCCCCCTTCTCTGCCAGTGTAATGGAGCAACGCAACTGCAGAGTAAGCCGTAGTTACTCTGCAACGGAAACATCCCGAGTCTCCGCTCCTCACATCTGTAATCCCCCTCATTAGAACATGACTGGCGTCCATTCCGTCAGGTTATTGTTTCGAGTATCGCGTGTATGGAAATCAATGGGCGTTTTGTGTTACATCTCTAAAATAAACACAACCCACCCCCCACCTCCCACCCCCCAGCAGGCTCATTTCCATAGCGCTAACAAGTGAAGCCTGTGACTGCTGATATGCAAAACGAGTGTAAGTGTAATGGAGCAACGCAACTGCAGAGTAAGCCGTAGTTACTCTGCAACGGAAACATCCCGAGTCTCCGCTCCTCACATCTGTAATCCCCCTCATTAGAACATGACTGGCGTCCATTCCGTCAGGTTATTGTTTCGAGTATCGCGTGTATGGAAATCAATGGGCGTTTTGTGTTACATCTCTAAAATAAACACAACCCACCCCCCACCTCCCACCCCCCAGCAGGCTCATTTCCATAGCGCTAACAAGTGAAGCCTGTGACGGAGCAAATGCAAAATCAGTGCAGGGCAAATAATAAATACGCTGGCAGCTGGCCAGAGCCCAAATGGCAGACAGGTGTTAGAGGGCACGGGAAGGATGGTGAGAAAAAAACATATTAGTCCCAGTCTTCACGGGCACAGGAAATTGGGATGACACAACAACAATTATTTCCTGTAATGTGAGTAATGAAGGTAATTAACCTAATTTGCAGTAGCATCCCAATTTAGGGTTGTCAAAAATGATTATGCAAAGCCCATAAAACTGTTCATCCATCTTGGGTCTGCTTTCGAATGCGGAGGCTAATCTATTGGCAGAGCGTTTGTTGTTTGCGTCATGTGTTTGTTTGTCAGAGTGAGGTCAGTGCCGGATGAAAAATGGGCCGACACTTATTT